ACATTTTAAGGTCATCAATGTGCAATATATTATATCGGGGTAGAAAAGACTAACTATGGAATTCTTGAAAGGTGTTCAGTCATTCGTGCAAATAACATCTCAATTTTTAGCTTACCTATCAAAGGGGTAAGTTTCGATGCCCATGCTTGAAACACAGGAATCAAGCATATTTAACGTCTGACGAAGTCAGATAAGATTTGTATCGTAGGGGATTTCAACCATTTTATTTATTTTGGACTTCATATTGTGAGGTTGAATTTGATATTTATACTAAAGCCGGTCCTTCAATTAGAAATGCTCCTTTAACTGAATTATTATCCTTCAACTGAGTTTGAATTAAGTAAATTTGTAAAATTGATTTTGATGAAATAAAACCTTATTAAGTGAGTCAAGCAGATGAAGATCCACCAAATAGAGAAGCTCAAATATTTTATGAGTTATTGAATGTCACACAAAAGGCCATGTCAGGAGGTTGCATATCTCATTCTGACTTAATTGTGACTCTTAAAGTGTTGACAATCAAAATAGAGTTTAACATGCCCCGATACTGATTTAATAAGGCTCCATGATTATTAAAAGAGATAAATCTGCAGGAAGATTTAGTGCCACAATATTTATACATAATGAAAAAGCCGATCTCCTAATTAGGTTTGAAATTAGAGAAAATTGATTGTTGTATCAACAAATGCATATTAATTTATAAGGCTGATGTATTGAGACTCCATGCATATTTTAGGCCTCTTCAGAAGCTCCACCAAAACTTCAATCCAACTGTTCCACAAGCTTCCACACACCATAAAATCACTTTCTCCATCAAAAGCCCCTAGCCCCAAGCTCCCTAACCTGACCATAGACCAAATCGAAGCACCTTGTCTTGTCACATTGACACTTGACCCATCTTTAGAGAAATCCAACACTTGGAGGAAGATCCTAGGCTCTAGATTCAAAGATCAAGATTAAAATAATAAGAGACAGAAGAAAGTTCCAAACAAACGTCTCTTTTATATGTCACTTATTCCATATCTTCAAAGATTATTTACTTTCATGTGTACTGCTCCACAGTGTTGAGATCATTTTTGGTTCATTTTGAGTTCATTATGTTTTTCTAAAGCTTTCCTGGGCTTGCAAGTGTGGAGCTGGCTAGCCAAACATAAAACTGCTAAAAAGTAGTCAGGCTTCGTGATATCATAGCCGACAATATGGCACTACATGTGATGAGGCGTGTATCCGACAACAAACCATCGTCGTTTATGGCACTTGGCTCGCACCGTGACAAGTATTCATCCTATTTATTATGATTATTGATCCCCTGATGCATCAAACGATGAGGCACCCCTACCCTAAGCTTAAAACCACAACGTCCCATCAAAAATATTACAAAAAAGTTATGTTCCTGGTAGAATGTCATGACATCATGCTTAGTGCAATGTTGCCTGATCATTTATAAATAGGGACAAAAAATAACGATTTTCGTATGTTTAATATCACATAACTAAACTCTGCATTTTTTCTTTATTTTCCCTCTTTGAGACTTCATGTTTCTCTATTTCGAGATATTACAACAGCCTGCCGGAGCAAGGAGACCATAAGGATGTCCTCTCTAAATCCAGAAGCAATGTAGATACAGAGAGAGCGAGACTGACACTTTAGGGAGGAACTATAGTGTCAGGTAAACCGATTAAAGTAGTTGACGCAGTTATCGGTAGGCATGGTGATCTGTGGATACTAAAAAAGTGATTTTAAATGATTTGTCTCCTCCACAATAGTGCAATGTTTGACCCTTGGAGTGACGTCGAGAGAAAGAAGAAAAAGGTTGGTGAGAGTCTTTGAAGAACCTTGTAGCTGACAACAGGCATTGTTGGAGGAATCTTTGGAGTACGTAAGAGATTGTTAGAGTTTTCTTGATAGAGCACAAGTGTTAATGTATACATTTATGAACTCAAATTGAGTGGAAATTCAGATATTATGTAGTAACTTCATATAATTTGGTGAAGAAACCCGATGATATTGTTCTAACTTTGTTACATTAGATTATGCAATAGAATTTTTGTTATTTTCATTTAAAATGGTAGGAATTAAAATTGTTCTCCTTCTTTGAATTGGATTTTATGCAAGTTGGTGGAATGTTTGTTATGTGATTACATGTTGATGTGATTATAAGTTGATAATTTAACCTTTTGAATTTAATTTACTCCTAAAATGATCACTTTGGATGTTAAAATAGATTGTGATCTAGTAATACATGAGTAGGCTAGTCGAACTATTGGGTTACCATGCACAACTCTAAGAGAATATAAATATTGTTGTTAGGTTAGTGTAACTATGTAGGAAAATTTACAAACATTGAGATTTTTACATGATTACGGGACTAACTATAATATAAAACCTCAATTTTTTTATGATTCTAATGAAACTGACAATTAGGAATTGACTTGTTCACAATTGAACCATTTAAACCATATTAAATTTTGGCTCGATATGTTCGCTTTTGCATTTCAGATTCAAATTTTGAGTGCAATTGATATCGACCAATTTGAAACCGACCTATCCAAGCTAACTTAACACTTGCCCTATTTAAATCACAACTATATCATAATAAATTTAGCCACAAAAATAATATAAGGCATACCACACCAAACCAAACAATATAATAGGAACACAACCCACACAAAATAATAAATATATAAATTAAATAATCAGTCAATGTTGAAAGAAGAACAAGAGATTCTGGTTTTTCATTACTAGTTATTATAAAACATCAAAAGAGAAAAACTGAACACTTTCTCACCGGGAACAGGAGAAACCCTACAAGTCATCACCATTCAGTCAACAACGATTTCAGTCTGCGGGTCTCAGCAACAACAGATTCCTGATCAAAAAGAGCAGAAACAACTGCTACACCTTTCAGATTGGGCGCACCAAGTTCCATAACCGACTGCACATTTCCGGCACCAATACCGCCGATGGCGACCACAGGAAGCTTCGAAGCCGAACAAACAGTTTCGAGTCCCTTCAATCCAATGGTCAGATTGTTCTGCTTTGTATTGGTAGGGAAAACTATGTAGTCGGCCCCACCAACCCAAGCTTTCATGGCTGCCGCCGGGGTCTTACAGGACACGCCGATGATCTTGCTTGGACCAAGAATTTTGCGAGCCAATTCAGCCGGCATGTCGGACTGGCCTACGTGCACGCCATCAGCATCGCAGGCGAGGGCAACATCGATCCGATCGTTGATCAGTAGAGGTACGTTGTAAGAACGGCAAATTTCCATGCATTCCATGGCTTTTTCGATGAATTCTCGAGTTTCTGCCTCCTTTTCTCTGAAATTTGTGAGAGAAAGTAGAACAAAGTTTCAACAGAGGGCATATACAAGATTTGAACTCACATAATGAAAGCAAAGAACCTTAGCTGAATGATGGTGGCTCCTCCTTCAATGGAAGCTTTAACAGCTTCCGTGATGGAGCGATTCCATTTTCTGTTCAGTCGAGAGTCAGTAATGGCATACAATAATAAACTATTTGCATTGAATCGTGATTTCTGGGCATAATTGTTCTGTTGGTTCTTCAGCATGAACAGGTGATCAAAGGGACCTTGCGGTCCATTTCCTATCATAAGATCCTTACTGTAAAGCAGGGCTCTCTCCACAAAGCTTTTAGCCGCCTACATATATTTTTGAAAAAAAAATATGCGAGAGTTTTACTTCAGGAGTCACGAATTGCGAAAGAATTTAAAAAGGTAAAGAAACAAGTTTGTATTGAGAGAAAATGTTAAGAATAGGTTATCTGCATAGTACTACACTATGAACACACATCACAATTCTTCCTTCACTATATTAATAGTTCAAAGGTTAAAAAAAAATATTCTATATATTTGATATAATACTAATATAACATATTATTGGTCCATTTCGTTGGTATTCTCAATCTCAAGCAAGAGATCCTAAGTTCAATCACTCCCTCCATCATTTTATTCTTTCACAATTTAAAATTAACTCAAATTTGCCATTTAAAGTTCAGTCGAGTCAACTCAAAAAATCCCACTTTGTGGTTTACAATTCAAGTTGTGGTTTACAATTTTGAATTCATGTTCAAGAACAACAAAAACGACATGCCTTTATCCCACTTTGTGGGGTCGCTTGCATGAATCCTTTTCTCCATTATGTCGCATTAAGTGTCATATTTTCATTTAATTCTAATAGATTAATATCATTTTTTATACAATATACCAAAATCTTTTTAGGTCTATCTCTGTCTTTCTTAACATAAGTCAAATCTAAAATATCTACTCTCCTAATCGGATTATCAGATGACCGACATTTAATGTGACCAAACCATCAAGGATGACTCTCTCTAATCTTATCCGCTACTAGAGGTACACCAACCCTATCACGGATATATTCATTTCACCAATGCATTCTCCTCTCAGCAACACGTAACTTTGTTTTATGCTTCTCTAATAAAATTTTCCTTTTTCTAGTCTCAGCGGTGTTTTTCTATCACATAATAGGCTCGATACATTCTTCCACTTCAACCAACTTGAATTCTACTAATAAAATTCCCATCGATGTCACTATCACTTTGAACAATTGACCCGAGATATCTAAACATTCACATCTTTTAATGATTTGATCACTCATAGTTACAATTCTGCCGCTAGAGCTACTACTACTAAAATTACATTCTATGCATTCGGTTTTAGATCTATTCAAACGAAAAGCCTTTAGTCTCCAATGTAGACCTCCATTACTCAAGTTTTTCGTGAATACTTTCTCTAAGTTATCTTTTGTCACTTGTTTAATAGTACTTGTTATTTTATCCCTCATAAAATTAACTTCTTCATGAACATTTTAAATCTTGAAATCTTAAAGTTTACTTATAAAAATAATTTTATTTGTATCTTTTAGATGCTCCTATCTAATTCTATGTAATGTTTCATCGTATTATTAATCATACAACTCATCTTAAAATCTAGAACTAATAATTGATGTTGAATACTTAAATTTTCACTTGATGCGACCTTACAATCTTTACATTCTCGACAATCTCTTTTTCTTATAAGAAAATAATCAATTTGTGTTTTATTAGATCCATTCTTATAAGTAATAATATATTCATCTCTTTTTTTAAATTAAGTATTAGTAATAACAAAATCATATATTAAAGTAAAATCTAATACAGTTCTACCTTTTTCATTAATCACTCAAAAACCGTAGCCATCATGAATATTTCTAAAATCTTCTATCATTCTACCAACATATCTTTTTAAATTTCCTCCAATAACAATTCTTTTTTTAAGGGTATCATTTGTATTACCTCTTCTTTTTTCTTTTGAATCTATATCCAAACCTACTTGAGGAGCATAAACACTTATAACATTAAAAATCTTAGCACCAACAACAATCTTTAGAGCTATAATTATATATCCAATTTTATTAATTTTTATGATATTATCTTTTAAACTCTTATCTATAATTATACCTACATCATTTCTAGTGTGACTCTTACCTGATACCAAAGTTTAAAACCTAAGCTATTAATCTCCTTAATTTTTTTCTTCAACCCATTTAGTTTCTTGAATATATAAAAATATTTATCTTCCAATGAACCATAACATATATTAATTCCATTAATTTACATGTGAGGGCACCTATATTCCAAGATTATATCTTAATATTAATTTCATGGACTAACTTCTTTGCCCACATCCATCCCTAATGTGAGAACCCATGCTTATTTGACATTACTGTAGCGGCCCTTGCACACTTTTCACCGTATTTAGGCTATATAATGTGCGTTTCTAAGAGACGCCCTAGCAAATGCACAATGATTTAAATGATTCGTATCATGATTTTTCGATAAAAACTTTGCGCTAGTTGTCGAATACCTAACGCAACTCTCCACTTTTCGCATTCGAGACTTGGGACTTAACAATGACAGTGTTAAAAAAAAATAATAATAAAAAAAAGAACCTCACTCGAACTAGACTCATTACTAACCTCTTTGATCTATTTCTCTCCAACTTCTACATATATTATAGTGCCATACGAGTAAAGTAAAGAAACTAACACAGCGCATACCATATATTATTGATTCAACATTCTAATAAAAATTGAATAAGATTTTTGTTGCCAAATTAATACTTGGGCTCCATCCATCATTTTAACATAAAAAATCACAACTGATCACATGTTCTATAATCTACTATTTCTTATAAGTTCTTCTAGTCACAAACATTTTTACCCACTTGGTTGGTTTTTCCTTGTTATGAGGCATCACGATGACCAGGTGGTCATTATCATGGGGGAAAGACTTTTCCCCGTTGGTCTCACTACAGCCATCCTAATCAATCTTCAGATCATCATTTGATCAAATTTGATTATCCCTTCATTGCCCAGCATGCAAAAAATCCTTCTTAATTTTATTGGTTCTTCAACTATCTGTTCTAGGTCTGTCGCTCTTTCTCAGTAGGATTATGACAACAAGTTCTACATTCTCAAGCACACGTGTCTGTCATCTATTTCATTTCCTCTAGCTTTGCGGCATTGCTTAAGATCCTAGATTCCAAAATCTAATATGTTTTTCACACATAACTACTAATTAACCAATTTTTATCATTCTTTGGCACATTTTTTTCACCTATAGTTTTTATTCATGATTATTCATCTCCTCTGTTCACCAAAGATTTTGTTTTTCTCTCACAGACGCTTATATGTTCAATAATTCCCAATTAATTTGGCATCCATTCATTTTTTTAACAAAAACTCATAAGTGTTTTGTAACTTTGTATCCTTTTCGTTATGCTTCTTATGGTCTCAACATAACATGATGATTTGTGGAGTTAAAGTTAGTTAAGCTTATTGTTTGGAAATCCTCCACCACAAAAACTTCAAGATTTAGTAACTATCTTCACATTTGCACATTTGAATGTAACGGCTATGAGCTATGTAAACATCATCAAGCATCCCTTTCATCCTTTCAAACCCAAATATTTTCCCAAATGAGTTAATTCATACTAGTATTTGGAGTTATAGCTCTGCCCATATTAAAGGTTTTAGTACTTTATAATTTTTGTTAAAAATGATCCTGAAGTTACGTGAGTAAATTGGCTGAAGTGAAGGCATAAAGTATTGTTAATATTTTGAACCTTCTATCAAATATAAACCTCCTTTTACTGTTAATAATTTGGAATACATGCATTCTCAATTCAACTTGCTTTGTGCCGACAATGCAATCAATCACCAAACTTCATAAGCCCATATAACTCTTAATATAATGGGGTATCAACTGCCCAACATAGCCTATAAGGTGATGTTCCTGTGAATATTCCTCGTCAAATATGATAATATCCCCAAATTATATAGGAATGAATTCCAATTTCTTTTTCAACGAAATTCTCCTGAAATTTTAAAAAAAATATTGGAAATACCCTAGTAACAAAAAAATGAAAAAAAAAAATCACAAGTAACTCACAACTATAAAATATTAGGGTAAGCGCCTCTCAATCATGCATATCAAAGATAGAACTTTCAAGTTCAAATTTATTATTTACTCATTGAAGTGACTCAAAATATCCAAATAATCTTAAAATTAAAACATTCATGAAATATAATTTTTTTAAATAAATTATAAATAATTACAAGTTCTTTAACTTGATTACTATAACTTCATTTTTTCCGTGGCCAAGGGGTATTTTTTGAACAACACAAATGGTTTAATTCATCAGAAGATGAGTATGAATGTGGCTAATAGCCATAATAATAATTTGTGATTCAAATATTTTTTAGGGATAATTTGATGAAAAGCCTTGGAACAGTTTTTTCATTAATAACTTTCAAAGAATCTTATATTATTTGCAGTAATTTCTCACATCACACACACACATATGTATGTGTGTAAATATGTGTGTGCGCGCGCGCGCGTGTAAGAAAGAAAGATTTTTACATAGTGTCACCAAATTGAATGACTTGTACTATAAAATGCCACTAGTGCATCAATTTTCTTCAGAGAGTTGGGCTCTTACAACACGTATTGATGTCAAGAGAACCATTGGGGATTGACTTGGATGATAAAACTTTAGCATATAAAAAAAAAACAATAAATGAAATTGCTTCACATCTGGGTGGTGGATAAAATGGTTTATGAAAATCAATTCATATGTGGAGAGAGAGAGAAAAGGAGATTCAAAATGAAAGCCATAACAAAGGGCACAAATATTTTTAGTTGCTCAACAAATTATATAATGCTACATACTATACTATATACTATACTATACTACAGCATAGTATGCATTTATAGCGCAATATAGTACAACACAGTATAGTATGCACTAAAATATAGTATTTAATATAATATAGTACATATTATAGTCAAAAGAGTATTTAATATCATATAGTATGGTAATCTAGCATCATACATGGTACTGTAGTATAAAATATATATAATATAATATAATATAATATATAGTATATAGCATATAGTATAATACATTATAATATAATAAATATATAACATAGTATAGTATGTAAAATAATATAATATATAGTATAATATAATATGTATAGTATAGTATACCAAATAATATCTAATGGTGGACTATATTATATATTATAATATACCACACACTACATATTAAATTATATATTATATATTATATTATTTTATACTATATTTTATGACATACTGCAAGCTATATTATATTCCATTGACATTACATTATTTTATTATATTATACGATAATATAAACCGAGCAACATATTTGCACCAATTGTGGTGGCAATAATGAAAGATATATTTGCATATATTAACAATACCTGGCATCTATATCTGGACAATCTCTGATAAGGTTATTGGAGTAGGCATTGAATCGATCAATATTCATCTGCTCAAAAGCAGCATAACCATAGCCCTAATTATATACTTTGTGATGATTCATTTAAAAAATCACACCCTTTCGATCTTATCCCATTCTATTATTCTCAAGTTTTCTCAATGGAACCACAATCATGCAAAAATACCTCTCCATGCCTTTGCCTTGCAGCATTCACCCTCCAGGTCATTCAAGATCATTCAAATATTATCTCAAGTCAGTTACCTTGAGACCACTTAGATGTTATCTTTTTTTTTATTGCAAACTTGAGAACAATGCCTTGCAAAGTTTCCCTCTTCCCTTTTTGTATATCAAAATGCTGACTAGGGAATTGAGCTGTCTCAAGGGAATGGTCAATCCAACAACACATTTCAAAAATGTTCATCATACAAACAACCCTCAAAATTTGGACAGCATATCTCTAAGGGAATGAGGGATCAAGAAGGTTGATTTTAATTTGTCTAATTTCTTAATAGAAACTACCAAAGAGGACATCATTAATAATACATAGATGCAACTAGATTGGAAAACAAATACCATGCAAAAGAGATCAAGGTCCCAAAAGTTGAATCATTGGATAGAAATCAAATTTCTGAGACGAGAACAAATTTTGAATTTTTAAAAATGTTTTGGATAAGTTTTTATTTGAATTTGAATTCAAATTAGGATGAATTCCATTGCTGTTATCTCATACTTCGAAGTATCTACTTCATTATTTGCATATAGGGTTCCCATTTTTTTGGGAGTTTCTTTAATTGTTGATTAGGCCTTATCCCTACTACAATTGCTTGTTAAAAAGCTTGAATTTTATAAAAAATTCATTAAAAGCTCTCCAAAATAATTCTCTCTTCCTTACTATTTCTCCCAACCGAAAGCCTCCAACAATCAAGTACTAAATCAAACTGCAATATCCGCTCGGGTATTGAGCAAACAGTTCTTAAGTACTATAACTACAATACCCATTACTAAACAAAGCTAGTGATAGCTAAAATACCCTGGAGATTGTTAAAGGTCCAAATAGGAGTGGAGAATGATTCCACATCAAAAGTAAATTAAGACTCATAGTTCCTAATGTAGCATTAATCACCCTTACCAACTAGCTTAAATTAATGTGCTCAAGCATTTTAAATTAGCACAAAGTAGAGTGCATGATTCAGTCCTATGACTTTAACTGCGCAAGGAAAGTACAAATTACAAAATTACCAAAACCATCAAGAGATGATGCAATTCAGAAGGAATAACTGACAAGCTATCCTAACAATCCCTACAATCCTAATACAACCGGTAAATTGCTGAGGCTGCACATAAAATATATTATGTAAAGGCTCTAAAATGACAGAAAGGCCAGAGAGCGAAACCTGAACAGCTTGCAGCATTGGAGTACCTTTAGCAAGCTCTGCTGCTATATATGATGCCAGAGTGCAACCAGTTCCATGAGTGTTTCGCGTCTTTATGTGTGGTCCACACAGCTCATGAAACTGTTCCCCTGGAGAGCATATCCCACAATACATAAGATATCATGTGCCTATAATAAATCTCAAGAAAAAAACTGAAAAGGTGCATAAACAAAAGGGAGATTTATATATGTATATTTATTTACATATATAGCAATTTGGTGCTTTAAACCTGTGCATGAATGGTGAATTTCACTTTTAAAAAATGGCAATAGTGCTATTTTTAATGTGATAATAAAGATTTTAAAAAATATGAATGCTTGGGTGTGAGAAAGTAATACATAAAAAATTTGTGCTATGTATGTAAATGAACCTAAACAAAAACCATGTCAGAGAAGAAATACACTAGTCATACCATCAAAAAATATATCTATGGCGTCTGATGAACCATGCAGATCCCCACCCTTCACAAGCACATTCCTGTACCACACAAGCCCAAGCAATTACTAAAGATCAGTATCAATGGTACAGCACATTAAGAAAAAGGAAGATTTACATATATACCATCTTACCTATGCATGAAAAGGTGGACTACCCCTTTTAAAAGTTAAAATGGTGGCATGTTTTATGTGATATGAAAGATTTGGGTGTATAAACGTAAAAATATATTTTAGGTGTTCGATATGTAAATACAAAAAAACTGAGTGGTAGGTAATAACAGAGAATGCCAGGCGCAATAAAGCTTTTGTTGATTCATAAAACGTGAAAAACAGCTTGCAAACAACAACTCTTACTCTTCATAAATGTCATTTTGTAGCATACCTAGCTCCAAAAGCATGTATAGATTTTGCAGCAAAATGCATGTCACCTACAGTATCCAAGGATATTCCTCCAAGTAGGGCCGAAGCTTCTTTCAGATTCGGGGTAACGATATCAGCCAATGGAAGAAGCTCCTTGCTATAATATAAAAG